CAGAGTCAACTTATTGGACAACTGCAACAAAAGGTTGAAGCTCTTGAAACCTTTAACCAACAGCTTATACAGATGTGAAGAGAAGACAATCAGTATGCTCATCAGCATGCTGCTCAATGTGCTGCTCTTTCTGAGTCACAAAATTTTTAAATAATCCCAGGCAAGATGAAAAACTACCTAAGGACACAGACATTCATGACTATGACTACTTTCTCCAACCCTATCATCCAACTCAAATCATCTCCAATCTTTCCATTCTTCTTTCTCTTTACTCCACTTCAACTCATCTGTTTTAAACTTATTCCTCTATTCATCAAACACCAAAGTTCTAGAACAAGTCATATAAAATGTTAAAATATTATTAGAAATTTTTATTTCATATTTCCTTTGAACTATTTTATATATTTAAACTTTAAAACATTATACTATATATTTTATTATAAAAAAAATAATAGAAGAAAACAAAAAAAAAAAAAGATAAAACAAAAATGACAAAAAAAAAAAATAAAATTTTTATACATAACAGATTTAAAAACCAAAACCCGATATTCTATCCCTATTATTATTTCCCTCCCTTCTTCTTTCCTCTGTCCTTAACCTTCTTAATTCCTCCTCATCATTTGCCAACCTTGCCCTCAACCTATTTCTTTCATCCAACAATCGATTATACCACTACTCCAACATTCACCCGTCCTGCACTCTTGAAACCACATTAGCCCTTAACTCTACCAACTCTGTCTCCAAACTTTGTATTCTTCTTCTCTGTGAGACCACCAACCGAAGTAAACTATAAAAGTTTTGTCAGTGACAAAAAAAAAAATGAAGAGAAGACAAAATTTTTTAAGTTAATATTTACTGACTATTCTCATCTTGGACCACCCCCAAGGCCTCATATAAGGCATTATTGCCAGAACAACGAGCACGACAAACATTTCCTGGGAGACTGTATCGAGGCATCTTATTATTATTGTTATTATTAAAGTTGTTGTTGTTGATGTTGAGAAGTTGAATTTTACAAAAAAAAAAAAGAAGAGAAGCGACAAAAGAACTATAATCTTTAATGAACAATAACGAAACAAAATTAGAAAGTAATCAGAAACTGATTTACCAAATCTGGAAATCAATTAGAAATTAACTTAACAAAGTAG